ATTCGAGACGCTATCCACATTATGAAAAACTAACTTCTTCTATTAGACTCAATTTTATTGACAACGGTTTTTTAATGTATGGTGCCAAGTCCATTATGTGTTAGGTGCTCCTCATTCCTTTCCTTCATTTGCCACCAAGCATTCAACCCAAATGGCGTCTATCTACCAATTCATTCCAACCCCCCCACCCCACTTTCATGGACGGTGCCTTTTTATAATACGCAAATATTAGAGAGATTAAAAATTAGTAAATGATGACAGGGAACAATAATTATGGGACTTAACAGGTTTAATACAGACAGCTTCCTGGTGAAGTTTTTAGGTCATCTATATCTCCTACGAGATGGTCTGAAAATGATTATCAAAGCCTCATTCAAAATTTGAAACATTCGAAAAGGGGTAGCTATTTTACTTTTAACTGGTAACTAGCTGCCTCCCGAACTCTCTCAAGCTTTGAGCTTGTCATTGTATAATAATTATTTTAAAAAAAAGCCTCATTCGAAAAATTTCTATTCGTGTTAGAGCTTAGTCGTCAAGACATCTTAGTCTGGTCAATGCCAACCGATAAATTTACTTCTCTCTTATGCACATTTATTCGTCTTAATTGTTTTCCTTCCTCAAAGTATGGTTAAAGGAGTCGAGAAAATTTACAATAGGCCAATGATAGTCATGTTGTGGCATCAAAGCTCCCCCGTAAATAAAACGTCATATCTTATGAAGAAAGCTGAAGACAGTAGAAAAAATTACTCCTCCGATCCTCAATCTAAAATTTAATGAAGAATTGATATTAGTCGTATATGTAAAACTTATTTCACATATTTATCAATTTCTTTTATCAAATTTATCTTATTGATATCTCCCAACAATAATCAAATAAGAGAGGGAGCGAGAGAATTAAGAAAGATACTTAAGATATTATTTTAAAAAAATATCATATTAACTAATTTAACTAACATTCTTAATCCACTCAAATTAGCTAATTAGATCATATGTTAAGGATCAGAGACGAATATTTAAGATTTTGCAATATTGCAGATCCCAGCTTTTATTTATTTTGCATATGCTGTAAATGTTTTTCCACAATAGAAGCTTTGGAACAGAAATTTGGAACCCTTCTTGAAGGGTCTCCAAATTAAAAGAAATTAGTTGGATCAGCCAATAATAAAAACAACGTCCCTCCGATCTAAATATAAAAATTGGTTGCCGGATGTACATGGGCCAAACCAAACTAAGATTTATATTTGGGCGTTTGAGCAGCAACCAAACGTGGGATTCACTTAACTTGAAGCGACATTTCGGGCCTATGTCACGACAACAACCCGAGTGACTCTTCCTTAAATAAGAGCATATGAGAACCACCTGTCTATCATTTGGAAAGCTTCTTTAGGTTTAAATGATTGGGCTACATGACCCGCACCCTAATGTAAGAAAGACAGAAAGAGGAGGGTTAGAAGTCAATTTGAATTTGCCCATTTGAATAGATTTGAGAACCAATAAAGAAAAGAAATTAACTAAATGAAACTATGTGGTGAAGATTTTACTTACTTTCACAGCAACATATGTCAAGAAGTACCCATCGTTCTCGTAGATTTGTGTGTATCTGCATTCAGTAATGGAAGGATGATATATGGGACAATATAATATATACAAATATCACAAAGGTTAGGATAATAATAATGGCCATTGATCAATTACCCGGCAACTTGACCATCAACAAACCATGCACGCCAAGGATCAGCTATTTTTAGTTTAAAGATATAATCAATAAACAAAGTAAATTCTTACCTCTCTAATCTGAAGAGCCTTCCTAACATCCTCATTATTTGCCCATTGGTTAACAAGCATGTGGTCATATCCCTACAAGTAAACTCCAAATTAAAAGGAATGTGTCTGTGCCTGTGCAAGCGTACGTATACAGCATTCTGAAGTTTACTTACACGACACCAGAATGCTGAAAGGTTCTGCAACGACTGGAGGATCCCTTCTGATGGATCTTCCAAGAGAATTCTTTCATTGTCATTGGGAGTCGTAATGCAAACAGGTTCCAAAATTTGATTTAGGTATATGTAGCGAATCAGCTGCAAATGAATAGCTTATACACTTAGTTTTTCATATCTATCTAATACTTCTAATGATGGTTGATTAGAAAGAAACTGAGACAAGTGTGAAGGAGATTTATACGAACACGAGAGTATTCCTCATAATCTGAGACACACTTTGTGTTGTTTGGATTTATGTTGAGATAATCACCATTACAACTTGCCTTCATTGACTGCAGAAAAAATATCAAATTTTAGACAAGTAATTCCATGAGACTGATCACTCGACATTGAGTTTTCCAGTGTTAGATGTATCTCATGATTTTCATTATTCCAATTCAATAATTCATTAGTCGAGCTATAATTATAAGCTAATAAAACTAAAAGGATAGAATTATGTTATGCATCTAAAGGTGAAACTCTCTAAAATAGTTCACTTTAACGAAATGTGAAAAACATGCTCATCCTAATCAGTCATATAAGTCCGTGAAGAGAGCTATGATTAATTACTATCACAATTATGGCAAACAAATTTGATCAGATTTGAATGAATGCATGAATAGAATAAAATAACTAAAATAACCTCATAGAGCTCATCCGATATAAGACTCATCTGGTGTGCATAAACAACTTGTGAGTTGGAAGTCAAGAAACGCATCAGTTGCTGGGCTGGCAAGCACAAAACCCTGGGGCCAACTGAGAATCAGTGGAACTTATTTTCATATGCAATATGCCAAAGGAAAGTACTCTATATTAATGGTGCCCAAAAGCAGAAAATTCCCCCCTAGTACCTATGAGACATCGTATTCACCTCTTGTATCATCAATGATTTTAGAGCTGTCTTACAAGAGAATATAGTAACTTTATAAGGCACTAGTCTGGAATATGATGCCTCACAAGGAACCAGAGAGTTTTTTACGGGGTCGGGGGGGGAGGGTAACTCTACACAGAACATTGTGTGCGTTATTTTACTTTGATATTTATGAGCGGATTGCTTCCTTCTCTGTAACCTGCAACTCAAACAAAGCAGAGAAGAAACTTAAAATGGAAAAAAGAATGGCTATAGCTGACCAACTACAGATACAAGTTAAAATATACACTGCCTAACCTTCATATATTTTTTTAACAAGAGGAACAGTTGGCATAGTTGAATACGATCCACCACCGATGTAAAATGGATTTGAGCCAAACTCAGGATGATTAATGAACCACTGCGTTAATTGCAAATCATCAGAAGATAAAGTGCATCATATACATGTATATACGTCATTTATTATGTACTTTCTGATTTGAAAATTAGATACAAGAACCTGGTTAATGAGCAAATCCAATTGTGATAGAGGTTAGAAAGTCTGGCAACAATTCTATGCCAAATGGAAACTTTCGGTGCCAGTCAAGTGTTTGTGAAATTGTAAATGATTTCATATCTAATATTTTTTACCTTCTGTAGAAAATCATATGTATTCTCAATCCACAGCATATCACTGCTATGGTAGCCTTCTTGTGTTTTCGAATAAGAAAATCCTGTGCCAACCGGTAAATCTATGTACATGACATTGAGTACCTGGTAATATAAATCCATATGTGGTCAGTTATGCTTATCTATCAAATGCATGTGCATAATACAATATCTCAAAAGAGAAGTAGCTCTACTAAATGAAAAAGCGAGATAAGTAGTAGTTGCTGTTTCAAAGATCATATCAGTAAGAAATAGAACCAACAAAGTAACTACTAACCACTTAACCAATGATGGCATTAGCGCCCGTGTCAAAGATTGTTTTCCATTGTTTCAATCCAGAAAAAGTTTCAATTAAATATTACTAATTTTGATGTATCAGTAGCAGAAGAATGGCTCTAATATACCTCCTAACAGAAAGAGTCTTTCCAATCTGAGAAAAATTGCTGAAAAAGTTGAGAGATTACAGTTTGCCCTGATATAATTTGTCTTAGAATCATAAAATAGCAACATAATGTCATGATTGTAGCATGAAGAGAAACAAAATAAACAGGGAAAGGAAAAAGAATGGCATTGATGGGAATGGATTATAAAATTGATCCGCAAGACAACACAAATATGGCAAGTTAAATTTAGAAACATCAGGACCTGCGTCCAAGCGTAGGGGTTTAATACAAGTGTTGGAAGAACCCCACTGGAACTGCGGTCAACTGTTACCGGTCCTGCAAGTTGTTAACTAAAAAGTGAGATTCTGATTACAGTATGGAAGGGGAAAGAGTAATAATTGTCCAAATATTTGTCTAGGTTTCCTCTTTTGCGACCCTTAAGGCAATTAATGAAGACATGGAATTACTTGGACGAGCACACGAGATGCAGGAACACCACATATCAGGCAATTTCAAGGGAAAATGCAATTTGGACCTTGAAAAGCCCAATGTAAGAGAGAAATTTGTTCAAGTTTGCATATTGCTTATTTCTCCAAACTTGAAATTCATTATTCAGAGTAAAATTATACTTGACGTCTTGCAGAATGGCAAAAAAAAATCCCAATCAATGTGCAGAGTAAATCACAGCTGATGATGTTTAATCTAATAACTACTTGAATTTATGAAAAATTAACTCTGTTTTCTATTTTCCATTCAACGATTATCTTCTTGTATTTTCACTTTTGAAGCGCAAAAGGTCCGAATCCCACAAAATGTATGTCCCTATTTCATGTGGATCAACATATATATGACTCATTAGCCACAAGGGTAAACAAGACAACCCAGTCAGATTAAGGGATAAAGTTGAATTAATGCATCAAGAAGGGCATTACATTTGGACTCATAATTTAGGGGTATACTTTTGAAATTAAAAATTAAAATGCGTACCATTTTCAAAAAGAAATGCAGAAAGCGCAGAGCAACCAGGGCCTCCAACAAACCAAAGTAAGATTGGATCTTTCGAGGGATTTCTTTGAGACTCCACAAATAAGTAAAATAATTGCACTTCCTCTTCTTCTCCCCACTCCTATGTATCTGCACAATACAGTTAACACGAACATACTCACAATTATATCCTATTTGTGAAATTCTTGTTTGTTCCAATACTAAAAGTTAACAGCCAAGAGAAAAACAACACAAACAAATAAATAAATTAGTGTATGAAACAGTCTCATTCCATTCATGTTATTTTTTTTTTTTTAAAAAAAAAAGATCCTATGTTTCTCCCCAAGCTTGAATTATTTTCATTGTTTTCAATGCAGCTTATTTGGGGAAAAATATTGTCATATTATTCTTTTCATTGAAGCTTTCCATTTTCCAATATTCAAAGGTGCGGATGCATAACATACAGTTACAAGTATAGGCTTAATCTGAAGGGGAGAAAATATCTAGAATTAAAAAAAAAAAAAAGGTAATTTGGGAGGTTTGCCATAATTCAGGAGGGGAATAAAGAATATCATTTTCTTTTAAAGAATTCATAAATGAATAAATGAAAAGGAGCAAATATTCATTTCACAAAAGATGAGGGGGGAAAAAAGCTCACCCAGTTTCAAGTTTGAATGGGAGGTCACCAGAAAAGCCAGGTAAATTCCTGATAACTGAACGTGAAGAAGCCACGAACGGAGCAAGCAGTAGAATGACTAGGATGACATAGCACCATCTCCAACCCGTGGCCATAGTTAGAACACTACCTTTTGTGTGAATTATATAAATTTCATTAAATAATTTGGTGCCCTTATTACGTGATTCGTGTAAAAACAAATTCTCAAGTCTAGTTAACCCAAGGCGTATCTTCAGAGCCTAGGCCTTTTCAAGATTTTGATTCCAAACATAAAACAAATTAATGTTGATGTATGACTTTTAATCCTCAGCAATATTTCAAAAAAGACTGACTATGTTAATTATAACCACATCACTTATTTTGAATTCTATATGAATTAAATATAAATGATGAGTTAAACATCAAGAAAAATAGTTTTAAAAAAAAAATATTTTAAGCGAGGACCCGGTTTTGTGAAAACATAATCATTAAATTATTCAAGTTAAATAACGTCAGCACAACTTTTGCTTTTAAAATTATTTTTAACAAATTTGTTGCGAAATGTCAATATCGAAATATATTCAGGGAACTAAAGATAAAAACATGTAGCAAGGAATTCGAACTAAATAATTTCGCATGAATAGAACTACAACAAAATAGCACTGATCAAAGCAAGAAAAGACGCCGGCGAAAGAGTTCATTCGGACACAAAATCAACTCTATTAGAGATCTGAGTGTGAAGTATCTAACCTTCTCCGTTAGCGCCGCGATTCCGATTATTCCAATGAGTTCTTAATGCAGAGAATCGCCGGTGGTGATAGTGTAGCGGCTGAACAAGCGAGAGCTCAAGCGATGGTTCGCTGATTAGGATGAGGATTCAATGAATGAAATCACTGTTCGTAGAGGAAGAGAAACTGCAGGGTAACGGTGGAGATCTCTAGCCGGAGGCGGAGACGGCAACGAGGAATACCATAAGCCCGAAGCAGAGGGAGAGCTTCAACAGTTAAGCACCTGTGTACGGAAGTCCAAAAAGTGTAAGGCAGAAATTAATCAATGATTCATCCAAGCGTCCTCACGGGCGGCATGCACCACTTATCTCAGCAGCAACCACTGTTTAAGATAAAACTTTCTAATTCATTGTATTTTTTATATTTATTTATTTTTTAAGTAGGTTCTTTTAGTAATAGTAATTACTCAAATTAACCTACTAGTTGTTATATTAACAATTGAAAATAGTATTTTCTTAATATACTCATTCAGTCCTTAATATAAGACCCAATTATTGAGTTAGTTTTAGTTCTAGATATATGATTTATTTCTAATATTTATCAATTTTCTCTAAATTACTCTCGTGGATACTCTCTCGTTCATAATTAAGTAGAAGAGGGAGATGGGGTACTAAAAAAGATGATTATGATGTTTTAAGAAAAACATGTCATCTTTTTTTATAATAAACTAACTTACCTAACTTTCTTAATCTAATCAAATTAGTTAAATAAGTCTTATATTAAAGATTGGAGGAGTATATTCTTATTCTTTTTGATAAGGTCTCACTGGTGACCTATCGGTCACTTACTAATAAGTTTTTCCCATTTCGAACTTGGGATCTTTTGCAGGTGATGAACTAACTTTTTAGCAACTAAAACTAATCTTTTGTTGGCAGCATATTTCTGTTCTACTCTTATTTCTATTCCTATCTCTTTCCTAAAATAAATAACTACTCAAAAATTTCACCAATTTTACACCATTTCTTTTTTATTTAGTACTCCTTTAATTTTAAATATAAGATTTATTTTGTAATATAATTTATACTATAAAATAGATATGATATTTGATATTTAAGACCAGAGGGAGTAATTATTTTTGTAAGGTGAGCGTCGAATTATTATGGTTTTTACTAGTATTGATTCAATTCGTATTTTTATTTTAGTAGTAACATCGATTGGGCCATGATTCAGCTTTGATGAGTTCAAAATTGAATGGTTATCCTGAAATGATTGCATTGGAATTTTGGCCGCTGGGTGCACTCTTTTCTGTGGGCTGCGGTGTGGTGAAAGGTCCAAAATTAATATGTTCATATAGATCTTAAAATTAAAATTATTTTAATAATTATATTTTATAAATGTTTTTATATGTATAGAAATTAATATTTATAATTAAAAATCGTAAACATCCAATATAAAAATACAGTAACATCATCAATATTTTTTCCCACATATAACTTTTTTTTAATTAGAAACAATCCTATTTAAAGTATTGAATTAAATATGGGTGTATTTTTCAGCAAAAATTTAAACTTTAAATTCATACAAGAGACTAACTTTTTTATTAGACTCACCCAGTTGTTGGTCAACCTTTCCTTTTTTCATCTAAAAGATAGAGAAAATCTCTAGGGAAGAGGCCCCCCGGGGGGCAATAATGCAAGAAATCAAAGAAGCTGAATCCTGCGTGACATCGTACGAGGTATCTCTATCTGGTTTCATAATAAGACAAATGGCCAAAGCACGTGAAAAAACGTGAAATTGTGACTTATTGTAACTCAAAAGAGTGTTTGGACGGGGTTTCTTTTCTAACTGACTTATGAAGAAAAAAATTTCTAACTGACTTATCCAACGCAATCTGGATGAACTTTTTTAACTGACTTATAGGAAAATTGTGTAAAGCTTACGATCTAATTAGTTATGTAATTCCATTTACTTTAATTTGAGACCAAATAAATTTTAATTCTTATTCATGTCTGTCCATTATGTATATTTAATTAATTATCTACAATGTATTTTCAAATTTTTCTCGGTAACAAATATTTTTATTCTATAATTTCACAAATAAACATTTATATTTTATTATAATAATTTTATGTGTTTTTTTAAACTATTCTCACATTAAAAATATAAAATTTTAAATACCACTCCATGCCCTTTTCAGTCATTTTACAACTAAACTAATTTTTCTATTACTCATCCAAATAACTTTTAACTTTTTTAACTGACTTTTTAAAAGCACTTATCCAAACATAAATTGTATTACATTAATTGACTTTTATTCTAACTTCAGTTACAAAAGTCAGTTGGGTTATAAGTTAGACTTTTTAAAAGCACTTATCCAAATATAAATTGTATTACATTAGTCTGCATCCTTTGAATATAGGATACCGGAGGGAAAAATCCAAAAACTGACTTTTACTCTAACTTCAGTTACAAAAGTTAGTTGGATTATAAGTTAATTTTACCCAATGCCAATCCAAACATACCCAAAGGCTGCGAGAAGAAGATAATCACCAAACGCAAGAAAGTAAACTTTTTTTTTTTTGAAAAAATGACAAAAAACCATCAAAATAAAAAAAACATTACATATAGAGACCGGTTTGTAAAAATTATTATCAAAACCCATATTAATATTATCATATGTCCTTATTTGCAATTTTTCTATTTCAAAGGTCTTTTTCTCCATTTTTTTCCCTTTTCTTTTAATATGAAAACCATGGATATGCATTATATTAGAAATATAATTTTACAAATAATGAAAACGTATTATGCCTTATCTTTTACGATCTTTGCTTTGGACTCGACCTGCTGGTTTAATGACATTATACTTTGATCAATTTTTTTTTAAAAAAAATATGAGGTTATAAGTTCACGACAAAAAAAGAATCTTTATTTTGTGTGCACAATTTCTTTTGAAAGAAGTGGTGTACATATGATATTTTTTTAAAATTAAATATCAATGTACATGTGTGTATAGGATTGATGGTCATTTTTGTTCCGAATGTCTTTTTTTTTTTTTGAGCACTGGTTCCGAATGTCTTGATGAAGGAATTATATGCATTTAAATTTTTTTGTTCAATTTTATTCCGAAATATAATCATATATTTTCTTCTTTTATGGTTTTCTTCCGAAAAGCTTTTGCTGTAAAAATTACCGTAAGGTGTTAAAAAAAAAATACTCCTCCAATCCTTAATATAGGACTCATTTAACTAATTTGATTAGATTAAGGAAGTTAGATAAGTTAGTTAATTATAAGAACTATGACACATTTTTCCTAAAACACCATAATTATCTTTCTTAATACCCTCTTTCCATTTTCTACTTGATTATGGTTGAGGGAGTATCTATAGGAGTAATTTAGAGAAAATTGATAAATATGAGAAATGGGTCTTATATTTAGAATTAAAACCAACTCAACAATTAGGTTCTATATTAAGGACTGGAGGAGTAATATTGTTAAAATTTAACATTGATCTTTATATAATTTGTTCCATTTCGCTTATCAACTGTATCATTTAATTAGTTCTTTTAATTAAAAGGTGAGGTAACAATGATTTGTAGTTACAAGCAAAATTAAACTTATAAATTTAAGAGAGAATTACAATAAGATCCTAAGTAAGAAAAATAATTAAAAAACAAGTTCCAAAAGTTATTATTCTCACTATAAAATTTGTTATTATAGGTTTTTATTGAGATTTTTTAGTAATTACTACCTCCGGTCCTAATTATAAGACCCAGTTGACTAATTTGAAGAGATTAAGGAAAGAAGTTAAGTTAGTTATTTGTAATAAATAAGTGTTGTCTTTTCTAAAATATCCTTATTAATTAACTATATTGGTTAGGACTATAACTATTAGAGGGATTATTTTGAAAAAAAAAATGCATAAATATGAGAGACAAAGTGGATTAGGGTCTTATAATTAGGACTAAAATAAAAGTCAAACAAAATCTTATATTAAAGAGCGGAGGTAGTATTTTTTTCTGTGCAACTTGATTGTAATTCCTTCTAAATTTAACTAGGCAAAGGGACGCCGCATATGACCGGGGAAAGCCAGGTTGACCAATCTTATCCTTGAACATTTTTTTTGAAAACACATTACAAAATAGGGAAAATTAATTTGTCTTATCCTTATACTTTTACCAAATTTTGAATCAGCTACTTACAGTTTTATTTAATTTTGTTCCATCCTTATTGTTTACCCTGTTATCCGCGCCTGTTTGCAAAACGTGTATACGCCAAGTGTATGAAATAGGATAAAGTCAGATGTATACATAAGGCGTGCCCCGCCAAAAGTTCCATGAAATAGGATTCTTTCGCCAAGTGTATGAAATAATTTAATTAAAATGTCTCTCTTCTTTCTTATTATAAACTTTAAATAACTAATTTACAAATGACAAAAAAAACCAGTTAAAATTAATTAGAAATAATAAATATGTTAGAAATATATTTTGTTTTCAAATATTTCTCTGGTCATATTTATGAGGTAGAGAGGAAAGACAATTTTTAGTCCTGTACTAAGAAATTTTTTTTGTATAGATACATAATTTTATCTTTCATTTATTATTGTGTTGATTTTGACTACATGAAATATAACATATATTAAACAAAGATAAAATTAAAAAAGTTATCAAATTTTAAATAAAAGTTAATAAAATTTAAATTTTTTTTTAGTCGTGTGAAACATGTTGTAAATAACTTATAAATACAACTAGAAAAATATGCCCTTATAACAAATAAGAAAAAAGATAAAAGATAATGTGTGGGAAAATGTGATAAGAGAGAAATAATTAAAAGCAACATTAAAAAAATGCATTAAATGTTAAAGCATACCCAAATCGAAACTTATAAAATGGACCAAAATCCTTTTCAAATTTAGAGTTTATAAATAAGACCAGATGGAGTAGTTATCTTAATTAAGATTAGTATTACTTGTGGTTATTAATATAAGACTCTATTGATTAATTTAAACAAACTAAGAAAATTAGTAAATTAATTTAAAGTATTTATACTTATCATTTTTTTAAATTAATTTGCCTTACTTATAAGTTGATATAATCTAATACTATCTCCAGTTTTTAATAGAAGAATTTGTTTGACTTTTATTTTGGTCCTAAATATAATACTCTAATCCACTTTTTTTTTTTTATATTTATCCATTTTTTCTAAGTCAGTTTTTATAACAATGATAATTTTAGCCAATATACTTCATTAATAAGAATATTTTAGGAAAGACAATACCTATCTATTATAAATAACTAACTTAACTAATTTTCTTAATTTATTCAAATTAACCCAT